AGGCTCACTACAAGATTCCAGAGGTCCTGAGAGAGGTCCCGGCTAGAGCACGGGGCTCGTGAGTCATCGGTTAATGATCACTGTAATTACAGCCAGCACTTTTACTGTAACTTTTTCAAAGGCTGTGCCTGTGCTAGGACACCTAGCTTGTTGCCCTTACTCCAACTTCACAAGAACTGAATGAATTCAGTGGTACTATAGGACCAATTTTAAAGATGAGAAAATTGAGGCTTAGAGCGTCATCACACACCCAGTAAGTGGCCCCTGCACCCTCCTGCCTCTAGGTGAAAAGCAGAGCTCTGAATCTGGGAAAGCAGAGTAGGCGCTCCCACTGGTTCTTGAAGGCTCGGGAATGTGCAAAACTATTAGTGAGCCTCTGTGAAGCAGATTTTTCTGTTCCAGGCTGAGGCTTCACTGCTTCTATTAGCTCATGAAGGAAGCGCACATGCAGACGCTGGGTACGTTCACGGCCTCCAAAGGTGGTGAGGCGCCTGTGTCGTTCCCACCTAACAACTGTGACTTCCCCAAGGTCAGATGCCAGGCTGGCAAGGTAAGGACCGTGGCCATCGAGCTGTTACTATGGCCCAGGAGCCTGGGGGGAGGCCAAGTCCTGTCCTGACAGCGGTTCTCACTAGTCCTCTGAAAAACTGGGCTGGACATGAAGGCCAGGCTACTCACAGCAGTGGAGCTGGAGTGTCCATGTGACCGTGGCAGCTAAGTCAGCTTGACCACAGAATGGAACTGGTCCCATCCAAATCCAGAATGCCCAGTCTCTGCCCTCTCCCCAAAACTGTTTTCTCTGCAGTCCTCTACAAAGGGCAGACCTGACCTCAGCAGCACAGACCCGTCTCCTCCAGAACCTCTCCCTGGTCACTGTCACCTCCCTAAAGCCTCCCAGCGTCAGCGTCACCCACTTCTTTCCCTATATTCTCCAACAGGCAACCCAAACTAATTGTTCTAAATGCTTATTTTGAAACAATTTCGATGTCAGAGAAGAGTTTAAAATAGTGTAATAAATTGCCATGTGACCTTCACCAGTCCCCCAACTGCAAACTGCATCCCCACCCTATTTCCATGCCATCTGATTTCATCATCTCCCACATTCACATAAAAATCCTAGGTACTGCTTTTCTCTCCTGAGCCATTCCTGAGGACTGTGATACCACATTCCTTTCCCGTAAAAATTTCAGAGTTCTATGTCTTAGCACCGCAAGGGCATTCTTTTATATAGCCGCAGCCCGGTTATCAACTCTGTGAAACATAACATTGATTTGACACTATCAGCTAATCTACAGTCCATATTCCAATTTCATCCATTGCCTTGATGATGTCCTTTAGGGCAATTTCTTCCCTGATCTGAGATCCAATCGCAGGCCATATGTTGCCTTTCGCTGTCACATTTTCTTAGTCTCTTTTAATCAGAAACAGTCTTTGGCCTTCCTTTGTCCTACATGCCACTGACATTTTTTAAGAGTCCAGACCAGTTCTGTAAAATGTCCCTTGACGTGAGTCACTCTCTCCATTTAAAGCCCCCACCACCACCACCACCACCACCACCATCTTCTCATTCTTCGGCTTGAAATTCCAAGAACTCATCACTGGCCTTCAGGGTCCTTTGACAAGGCCCACCCTCGTCACCCCAACCCACCTCCCCAGCCAAAGCCCCTTCTCCTGGCTCGGCCCTCACAGGGGCCAACGCAGACCCTCGGCATTTCTTTCCTTCTTTGCCCGTATTCACTATTCAAAACTCTTTCCTCCCAGATCTGTGCATTTACCGCTTGGCCCCACACCGGGATGGTGCTCTCCTGTGAGGGCAAAGACCTCTGTTTGGTCTCTGCTGGATTCCCAAGGCCAGAGCTGTGGAAGGCGGTACTTGGGAATCATTGTCTGGGTAAATGAGAAGAAAGGAGTTAATCCACGCTCGCGCTGTGCGCTAAAACGAACCAAGATGTCCAGGCCGGTTCAGGTCCCAGAACCTCCCTCGGGCCTCCCAGTGTCTCTGACCAGAGAAGGAAGCTCCTAGCCAATCCTCCTTATCTTGGGGCCTGCAACACTCCACCAACCCATCCTACTGATTAATCTTTTTAAATCAATCCCACCAGGCTAACAGGCTGGATTCCAGAGATAGAGCTGATCACCCTGAAGGTGGCCAGTGGCCCCCTATTGTCCACTGGCCTGTCCAAAGGGCAGGCCCTCCCCATCTGATCCTTGGGCCTCACCCCGCCCCATCCACATGTCCTCCTGGGCCAGCCTAGGGAGCGGGCTGCTAATAGTTCTTTGATTGCAAAGTGAAGACAAGGATCACAGAGCCCAGGATGCCCCAGCCCAGAGCAGAGTCAGTCATTTCACTGACTGCTGTGAACATTTAAGGTCCCAGCTACACCAGTCTCAAGGTTATAACAAAGGTAAGAGCCACCCTATCCTACACCAGCTTTATTCTTGATTTCACTCTTCTTCTGCAGAAACACCTCCATCTGACCACCATGGGAGGCATCTCTTCCGGGAGGCCAGCACACACAGACAACAACCCCACCCCCCCAGGCCAGAGCTGCCAGGTCTGGGTCCCAGCCCAGGCCAGTTCACCTCCAGCGGCCAGCCCAGCAGAGAGCTCTCCCAGGGCAGCTCCCTCTACCTTCAGAGGGTTGGCTCAGCTAAGGCCTCCCCGCCCCCCCACGCCCCAGGCTGGAGTCCAGAGTGGGTTGGAGTCCAGAGGTAACACTCCCCTCCCCCCCTGACCCCAGGCAAATAGCTCAGCCTCCCTTGGCTTCCCAGTACAAAAATAAACAAATAAAGATGAGACTGATAATGCTGGCCAGACCTAAGGAACTGACAGCCAAAAAGGGGAGGCGCATGGGAAGAGAAAATTTAGCACCTGCACCCCGCAAGTAAAGAGTGAGGGATGCTGGGTTGAGGAATTTGTAATCCAACTGCCCCAAGCTGTTAAAGGGGAGCGGTTGCCCACCTCCTCGCTAATGGGATTACCACCAGACTCGCTGGGCAGTGAGCTAGGGCCCGAGGTCTCCCAGCGGAGCTCCCGCCCGGCAGCGCCAGCCCCCTACGCTGCTCAGCCTACCACCGGCGCGCTAAGGCACCCTTCCCAGGCGCGGCGGCCCTTCCCGCTGCTGCTATTTCCTCCATGACCTCAGCCTGCGAGCATGCAGGAGGCGCCCAGACAGGCCTAGGCAGCCGCCTCCCGCTGGACTTCCTCCTCCTGCCCGCCTCCCTTCAGGTCCCTTCGCCTCCCCACCTCGGCCTCCCCAGCGACCTAGTGGGCATTAGGTGATCTGGCAGCTGCAGTTGGCTGAGGCACGGCCCTGCAGCAGCAACTACTTTCACTGGCTTCTGCCAGGCGGTGTCAGACCCCAGGCCAGGCGCTCCCAGGGACCTCTCCCTCACGCTGCGAAGGCAGGCGAGGATTCCCCTTGCAGCAGACCTGCAGTCTGGGTCTGAGGTCCTCTGGCGCCACTGCAGTCTGTGCAGAGCGACCTGATGAGTTCAAAAGACACTCAAACACGCACAAATCCGCTCCCTCTGGGGGGCGAGAAAACGGGAATGGCACTGCGGTCTTTGCACCCCAGGGCCAGCCCCAGCCCTTCCTCCAGAGCACCTCCACGCCGGCGGCCCACCGGGGAGGAGAGCCCTCTCCTGGGCCCCCCGCGCGGGCCGGGCGGAATGCCACCCGGGCTCCCCGGACGCCACTGCAGCCAGGACCGCACTAGGTCCTCGCCGCCGCACTCCGGCCCGGCGTTCGCCCCTCCCCCGCCCGTGCCTCACAAAGGCCCTTTGTCCCGCAGAGCCGCCGGGACTCTGGTTCCTGAAAAGTTCCAGGAGAAAAATCAAAGAGAGGCAAAAACGGCCGGCGCGGTGGAGCGGCAGGGTCGGTGGGGCAGGGCAAAGGCGGCGGCCGCAGTCGCAGAAGGCCCGTTCAACACCCCCAAGGACAAGGGGAGCGACAAGGGACGCCGGAGCAGTCGCCAGAGTCTAAACTGCACCAAGGAGTGGGAGAGGCGAACTGTTCGAGTCAGCGTGGGCTGCCAGACGCAGGCGCTGGGGCAATGGGCGGAGGAGGGCCGGGGTCTCCGTGGGCGCTGCCTGCAAGTCCGGAGGTCCCCGCGCCCGCCTCCCCGGCCCTGCCCACTGGAACGGAGGCGCCGGCCGGGGACAAGCTTCTTCTTCCTCCCAGGTGCCGTCCCAGAGCCTGGGAGCCCCGCTGGACAAAAGGCAGAAGCCACTGAGCCCTCTGGGCCATCTCCTCCCGCGTGGACGGTGCTCAGACCCAGGCTTCTCCTGCGCCCTCGTCGCCAGCGCGCTCTGCTCCCCGCCGCGTCCTTTCCCCTCGCTTCAGGGTGGCGGTAGCAGTTTCTGCGCTGCACCCGCCTTCCCGCCGGAAAACAAGGGACCAAGCGGGGGTCACTGGCCTCCTGGCATGTGGGTCCTAGGACCACCGTTCTCTCCCGGGGAAGACCGGTCTCCCGCGGGCCACCACCGACCCGCCAAAGTCCGTGATCTCAGGGCTGGGGTCTCCCTCTCCTGCACCCCAGCTTGTCGGAGCCGGCCTGAGACCCTGAAGGACGCGGGAGCAAGCGCTAGGAACCCAACTCCAGGCACCGGAGCGCCTGGAGGGGTGTTTGAACTCGAGCTCAGGAAGCTCGATGTTTCTAAGGGGGCCGATTTGTTCTTTTCTCACCGATTCTGACAACTGCTGCCAAGGCGCGAGCCGCAGTAGCCCGGGTATAGGCATCGCCCCTGGCGACTCGGGGTTTTCTGCAGACGCACAGCCTTGGGAGAAGCGGGCAGACCCCACGCCCTTCCAAGAGCCTCCGACTGGCGTCTGGTGGGTCTCCCCGCCCCAGTATCTGAGCTTGCCCGCATCCCAGGGAACCCCCAAGAGAACGCCGCCGCGCCTCCACAAACGCCGCCGGGAACAGGCCGAGCCCCCTGGCCTCCCTCCCCAGGATCCCGGGGGGACCAAAGGGGCGGGCGCGGCGCCCGGCACTTACCCGGGTGCGGGTGGAGGTTGAGGCCGGCCATGTACTTCCCGGGTGGCAGCGGGCCGGGCAAGCCCGAGGCGGGCAAGCGTCCGGCTGTGGCCGCGCCCACGCGGTGGCTGTCCATGGCCAGGCCGGACAGCAGCGGCGGCGGGGGGCCGTGCACGGACCGCGGGGGCCCGAAGTCTCGGCCATCCATCCTCCGCGGGAGTGCCGCGGCCAGCCCCCCTCGCGGCCCGCCGGCCTCGCTCAGTGGGACCTAACAGTTCGGCCTCGGTGTAGTCCCAGAGTCCTCCGGCGGCGGGGGCTCCGCGGCGTGCATGGCGGCGGCCAGCCGGCCTCGCGCTCAGCGGCGGGCCCGAGGCCCGGGCCACACAGGCGGACAGCGGTCGGGCCCCTCCGGGCGGCCAGGCGGAGCTGCGTGAGGCGGCGCACACGGCGTCTTGGCGGGGAGAAGAGACGTGCGCGGAAGAAACAGAAAGAGGGAAAGGGAAAAGGGGGAGGAAAAAAAGAAGTTTCAGAAAGTTGTGTGGCTGTTCGGGGGTCGGGCGCGTCCGAGCTGGCGGCCAGAAGTGAAATGGGGAGCAGCCCCTTTTCCATAAAAAGTAAAAAATCCGCGTTCCTTCCTCTGGCTAAGTCAGGTTCCCAGGGACCGGCATCAGCCAAGTGGCCGGAGCAGCGCGGCGCCTCCGCGCGCACCGAGCCTGGCGGCCTCTTCCGAAACTGGGGAAGGGCCCTCGGCAGCGCCGGGACGGCGAAAATACAAACCTCCCGGCGTGTTTTATTCCTGGGCGTCACATGCTCCGGGATAGAACCTTTCCATGAGCAGTTCGAAATGTCTCCTCAAACACTGCCACTATCTGATCCGGAAAGTTTAATATTTAACCTTTTTAGGTCCTCGCCTCCCTCTTCCGAATTTGGTTTCCCTGAACTCGCCCTGAGACGCCGAATTGTGGGTTTTTTGGGAGAGAGGATGCAAAGCAGGCTTCTTATTTTTAAGGAGTCGCCGCCCCCTCCCTCGGCCCACCGAGAGTCGCAGAGGCTAAGTCCGAGGACCAGAGACGTGGCATTCTAGCCTGAGGACTGGAAAGAATCCTTCAAAACAAGCTTTGGTTTCATTTTCCAACGCCTTGGCCTGGGGATCCTGAGGACGGAGGACGTGGTCTGGAGCGGGGATTTTAGGGGGGGCGTCGGAGCAAAAGCAAGGGGCTCAAGGGGCTTGGTCCTTCCCTACCTTCCCACAAAACCCAAAAATAACCTACAAAGAAAATCTCCACAGCGCGGACCGACGGAGGGGCGCTCCCCCCAACGTTGGGTAAATCCCCCCTGTAGTTCCAGTTTAAAACTGTTTCAAAGACGTGTCGTTTACCGATTCCCGCGGGGGCCGGAGAGGATCTCGGAGTCAATCCTTCCCCTCGCTTTCCGACTGCCCGCAGCAGCTCGGATTCCCAATTCTGGAGGCCCAGGCGCTCGCGGAGCCGCCGACAAAACCAAAGCCAACAGCTCCCGGGTGCCCGCCCTGCACCCCGCGATCTGCGCCCAGCCCCACGAGCTGCAGACCCTCTAAGCCGCAAAGTCCCCCCCCCTTCCTGCAGCCTCCCTCCCCAACTTTGCCAAGGGTGCTTATTTTAACCCGGTTTTGGTTACAAACACCCCTCCTCTCCCTCCCTCGCTCTCTCCCTTCAGGCTCCGGTTACCAGATCCGCGTTTACTTTGGAAAAATCTAAGATCGCATCCAAGGATACATGTCTTAAGGAGGCGATGAGCGTTCCGTGATTTTTTTTTTTTTCTTAAAAATGTCTCTTGTACAGCTTTTCCTTAAATAGCAGCACTTCGGAGCATGCCCCTGCGCCCCGGTTGGGGGAAGTCAGGTTGAAGACACCCCCCTCCCGCCCCAGTACCCTCACTCTGGTAGAAAAGCTGGCTCGGCCATCTGCAGACTCCGCTGCGTTATCCCTACTTTCTCCCCTTCTTAAATGCAGTTAAAATGGCTGAATTCCGGCTTTTAATTAAAAACAGCCTATAATCGAAAACGTCTCGGCGTCCCAGGCTCCCCCGCCGCCTACCGAGAACGGAGATGGGAACCGACGCCCCTCGGCCGAGCTGGCGGCGGGTTGCAGCTGGGTTGGGGGTTCAGGTGAGCGCCCGGAGCTCAGCGACCCGCCCCCGCCCCTCCCAAGGCGCCCCCCACCTCGCTGGCCTTGGCCGGGAATTGCGTCTCGTGGACCCGAGAGCTGTGGGGATCCCCCACCGCACCCCGAAGGGAGAGACGGGCTGAGGGGCAGCTAGAGAAGTTTGAAGACCGACGCGCCGGGTTAGGGGCAGGCGGGCGAGAGCAACGGCGGCGTACCTGGCGCGGCGGCTCCGGGCTCCGGCGACGGCGACTCCGGTGGCGGCCCCGGCTCCCCGCGCGGCTAGGCGCCCGTGCTGCCCGCCATCCCGCGGCCGCTGCTCCTCTTCGCCACCCGCCTCACACTTTTTGCCCGCCTTTCCTTTTTTTGGTAGAAAACCGCTCCCCGGGATGAGCGCTCCGCGCGCCAACTCCTCCGCCCTCCCGCGGCAGGGCTCCCGCAGCCCCCGGAAAAGCCAGCTTTCCTCCCGCCGAGCTCCCCGCTTTTTAATAAAATCCAGGTAGCGCCGGTTTAAAGAATCCCAAATCTCCATATACAGCCCGGGATTGGAAAAGGTACATTACACAACCCCCCTTTCAAGTTCCTCTCGCTGATTCTAAAAAAAAAAAAAAAAAAAAAAAAAAAAGCGCCGAGGGGGGGGTAGGGGGGGTGGCTGGGGGAGGGGAGCACTCTCCGGCGAAGAAACACGCATTGTTCCCCGGTGCCCGCCTCCCCCAAGGCCGGCCCTCGGCCGTCACCCATTGGCCGTGCGCACCGCCAATCACACGCATGTAAACACCTTGGCCCTCAGCCATTCCTATAAAACCAATTACTGACCGAGGGGCTCCGGCAGTTTCCAGGCTCCCCTCGGCGGGGCTGAATGATCAAAACTGGTGGTGAGAATTTTTCCGGGCCGTTTCTAGGCAGCCCTCCCCCTCCACCGGCTTGGATTCCCCACCTCCCTTTTCCTAACCCCCCCCCCCAGCGTCTGGGCTGAGTGATCAAAATAGAGGAAGATGGTTGTCGCCGCAATCCAGGGCTTTGCAAGGCGCGGTTTAATGGGCCGCCTGTCAGCTTCCTGCTCGCAGGAGGAGGTGACAAGCCGAGCGAGTCTGGAAGGACCTGAGGCCCGGCGAGCTGCACCCCGCGCCCGGGCCCCCCCCCACACCTCCCCTGGGGCGCGCCTTCAAGAACGCGCGGTGGAGACGCTAAAACAGACAAGGGCTGCTTTTTCCCTCCCCCCCACCCCCAAACCCTCCTTAAAACAAAGCCGCGATTCATTCACTCTCCCCCAGCAGCGCGGTTGGGTGGGATGGGCAGGCGCGAGGACCGCTTTCCTAGCCCCTGCCTGCGAGCCCCTCCCTGAAACGCGGTGTCAAATGGTTACTGATTAATATTTTGGAGAGACCGCGGCGGCGGGCAGCGGGTGAGTCTCTAATCTTCTAAAAAGGGTTCCTATAGAAACGCGGACCGGAGCGCGCCCCCCGATCAGCCCCGGGGCTGTGGAGCTTTGCTCCGCGCGCTCCTCCCCAGTGCTTCTCTTTGCGTGGGCGCTCCCCTCCCATTTCCCTCCCCCCACAAGAAAATCAGAGCAGAAAAAAGGATTAGATCGGCTGAGCGCGAACTGACTCCCTCTCGATTCTGACATTTCAGCCTATTAGCATTTCTCCACGGGGCCTTCTGAAACCTATTAAAGTGTAATATTAAAAACCTCTTGGCTGGGGGCCTCTCTCGCCTTCCATCCGCCGCGCCCCCTCCAGGGAGGGCGAGACCGGGAAAAAAAAAATCTGTTGAGCTCAGAGGAAGCAGGAGCCAAGCCCAAAAAGTGCTTGGCTGGCCGCAGCCGCCGGAGGGGGAGGGGAGCCCCAACCCCCCAGACTTTGTACTTTTATTTTGCGCTTTCAGCAAAATCCTTTTTGGGTTGAGTCGCTAGGAGCTGCCCACGGCAAGCGTGCGAGCGTAGTTAGAGGGGTCTCGTCGGGCATGGGGGAGGGCCACGGGGCGCACCCTATCTCCGCAGCCGCGCAGGATCTGATGCCGGGCTAGGCATTACGTACCCTCCAAAGGAAGCTTGGAGAGACAGAAATCCGTGCCGATCCTACCTCGGAGAGCAACTGCGTTGATTGGATTTTAATTAAAACAAGAGAAGCCCGCACTTTCGCCCTTCGCTGCAGACTCAGCGTTTTCGCATTTCTCGTTCTGTTTTATTTTTTAAATCCGTTTTAAGGCAACTTTTCAGGGGAGACAGCATGAGCTACTTAAGCGTCCATTCGCCCTATTTTCTTTCCTCCACTTTTAGAAAAAAAAAAAAAGGACTAGGCTTGGAGAGCGAACTGGGGGGTGTCTAATTTAATTCCAGTATAAATTTAAGGGAAAAAAAGTTCAGCCTCTTGAGGGCAGTTTCAAGTTGCCCTTCCTGGAGCCGAGTGCGCTGGTTTCTAGGCTGCCCTCTTTTGGAAGCTGTAGCTACGCGGTGGGAGGAGGGAGGAGTAAGACGGAAAGAAAGGAACGAAAATAGCCCGAGCCGAGGGGAAGGAGCGGCTGTGGCCGCGGTTGGAGCAGGGCGCACTGGTCTCAGTGGTGGCCCGGGCAGCGGGAGACTCCCGGTGCAGCCCCGGGACGGCCAGGAGCAAAGACCGAGAGGAGAGGGGGGTTAGAGAAAGGAGGTATTGTGTCTGTGCCTTGGGGATGGGGGATGGGAGGCGGGCGGTGACTGCAGAAATAAAATAAATGCAGTTGAGCTGCTCAGAGCTGCTGTTAGCCGAGGCGGAAGGGACCGTGCGTCGGGGCACCGCTCGGGTGGGCGCCGAGGGTCCTCTGCTCTGATCAGAGGCCTTTGTCGGTTCCCAGTAAACCCTCCCAATCCTAAATCCCCGTAGGTTCCCCACCCCCTGGCTGCTCTGTAGTATTCCGAGTCCAGACCCTTGTCCCCCCACACCATTATCCCCGCCCTGGATCTGGAATGTTTTTAATAGAGCTCAAGGAAAAAAAAATGTATCTTGAGAGAGTTGGGGTGGGGAATACAAAAGGCTTGCAGAGTGGAAAAAAACAAAAGCTATTTTTATGAATGTTTAATGTTTTCACCTCTGGATGCTCCAGGATGCCGTAATTGTGACGGCGGGGTATGTGTGCTATAAATCATTTAGTTGCTAATAAAAATTCTGCCTATTTGCCCTGAATTTGCCAATGGCGTTTGCATTTTCCAAGTGCGCGGCTCCTTGGCGTAGCAAACCGAACCTGCACTTCATTAGGGCCGCGGTTCCGGACAGCGAGGGTCCCCTCCCCCGGCCCCCCATCCGGGCCCTGTGTGGGCCCCAACCCCCTTTCGC